AGAGGCGAGAACCAAAAAAATGTATGCACACTTCAGGAAAAGAAAAATAGTATGATTCTTAACAGATGGTGTTACCCTCATACGGGGGACCCTAGAGGATGTCGTATATCACAGAAAACCCACTACACTGCCTGCCCCTAGAGAAGAAACTGAAAATGCCTGTGTAGCCATCTCAATGACCAAGGTTACCCAAGCAGCAGTTCTCTGTACTAATAAATGTCCGGAGGCTAAAAGCCACCACTTTGAGCACTTCTTATAATTGAGGCCAAAGGTAACTTGTATTAATCTCATGAAGTCTCTATAAACTTATTGAACAGATCAGGAATTATAATCTGTAGGACTGAACGAATAGTTAAAACTCAGTACTTACCCCACCTGATAACTGTAACTGTCTCTGTGATCTAGATCACTGCACTTTGTCTCTCTCATCACTCGATTCCTCTCATCTTATTTCTCATGACTTCATTCTTCTCCAAAGGAGGTGGCCAGCCAGTTCACCTGCAACTCTGATTTTACTGAGTCTCCACAAATCAACCTTAGAAAAGGCCAGGCCAAGTTAGCACCAATCAGCCATTCTTCCTGCTACCATTTCCTGGTATAAGAGAACTGTGAGGTGTGGGTCTGGGGTGATATATTGTACTAAAACCATTTAAAAGACTATTTCAGCTACCCATTGCTAATAACAGGAGTCTTTCTGTTTTGTCTCAAATTCCTAGGCATAATCTCCAGAGATTAAGAATTCTCTAACACGCAATGTAGTTAGTTATCTCATTAAATCTATCCCCTTGAAGCTGGGCATAGCAGCACATGCCTGTAACCTTAGCACTTAGGAAGGCTGAGGCAGGAGGATCTCCAAAAGTTTGAGGCCAGCCTAGGCTACATCGTGAATTCAAGGTCAGCCTGAAGAACATAGTGAGGAGACTCTATCTCAAAAACAACAACAAAAATTCACTCCCTTGATACTTTCTCTTCTGATGATTTCAGTAATTATTCTGCAAAAATGGAAAATAATGAGGGCTCAATTTCCACTTGTCTATCTTACTATGACTGTCTCTGTAGTTTCTTTGTTCCATTCCTTCAGAAAATGAGATTGTTCTTTCTTGTGAAGAAAACTGTCACACCTATTCTGAGTATTCTAGATTATCCTGACTTTTCAGCAACCTTGTTGCCATACTTGTCTTTTGGCAAAATCTTTCCTATTCAATCTGCTCCTTGATGCTGTTGCATTTGACAATGGTTAACTAATCAATTTTTAAAATTAGTCTCTCTCCCTGACTTGCATGACATTGTTCTACTTCTACTTTTTATTCCATTCCACATTTCAAATTGTGCTATGCTGGTTTCATTTTTACTTTCTTGCTCAAAAGATTCTTCCACCTTTACTCCTTCTTCTGTCTACTGGAGAATGGGGTGAACAACAGAGTGGGGAAAGAGGCAATGGGATAGGCAAAATGTTTTTGTTGGCAATTTGTAATTCTTCAGCAACGTTGGAACAGAAAAAGGCTAGAACTATACCTTACTACTCACTATGGAGAATTAATTTAGTTTTTTCATTATTGTTCTTACATCTTTATAATAATCCCCCAATTTAATTTTTCTCTATAATTTTGATCTCTTTCCTAAGACCTAATCTATGTTTCTTCGCAACTTGACACAACTAAACTTTGGCATTAAATTTCCTATCTAAAATGATTATATTTACATCCACCATCCTATCAATCATTAATGATTACTTTAAAAAAAATTTTTTTTTTTTTTTTTTTTTGTTACCAGGGATCAAACTTGGGTCCTTGTGCTCACAAGGCAGACGGCAGCACCACTGAACTAAATACCCAGCCCCCCCATTTTTTTTCTTTTTAAGACAGCATCTTATGTAGCCCAGACAGACCTTCAACTCACAGCAATTGTCCTGCCTCAGCCTCCCAAGTGCTGGGTGGGATTACTGGCATGTGATCCTACTCCCAGCCATTAATGATTAATAGTAACTGATTTTTGTGGGCATTAAAGCTAGAGGAAGCCATGAGTGCCCACTTGAAATCCCAGTACTCTGAAAGGCTGAGGCAGGACTGCAAGACTGATCTGAGCCTCAGTAATGTAGCAAGACCCTGTCTCAAAAATTAAAAAAAAAATTTTTCATTACCAGGTATCGAACTCAGGACTTTGTGCTTGTGAGGCAGGCACAGTGTCACTGAACTAAATCCCCAGCCCAAACATTTCTTTAAAAAAGGCTGGAGATGCAGTGTAACTCAGTTCTGGATTCAATCCCCAGTACTACAAACTTATGAGGCAGAAAAAAGGGTGAGAACCACAGACTGACAAAATAAACTTCAAAATTCATTAGTATAACTGCTCATTCAGTCTAATCAAAACCATCAATTTTATTTCCCGTTATTCTCATTTTCTTTCCTTCTTCCTCTATATTTCAGCCAAAATTGGAGGTCCCAAATAGAACAAACCCTTTTCTGCTTCAGCATCTCTGAATATACCCCGACCCAGAAGGCCTTCTCTCACTCATCTGCAGACCTGGCTCACAGGTCCTATGAAAGCTTCTGCTGGTACTTCTCATCCCCAATTACCCTTCTCCCTGTACTTCCATAGCACATTACAGCATCTCACACTGCTCTGCAATTAGTTGATAATGTCTGCCTCCTCACTATAATGTGAGCTACGTTTAGGGCAGATTCACACTGTGCTCACCTGTGCATTCCTAGTCCCCTACAGACAGACAGACAACCCCAACATGTGACCATGCTAGTCAAATCTGTCAGGATCAGTTCAATGCTCATCTATCCTGAAGCACAGTGGGCACAGGGTACTTCCTCCTTCCTCCAAAGTTTTACAGTATGGACATTAAGAAGACAGAAAAGCCTGAAGGAAACTAAGTCATTCCTTCCTACAAAAGAAACTGGGGTCTCTGGCTAATAGAATCAAATATAATTCGCTGTTTAAGGGCCTCCATCATTGTTTTTTATTGTTCTCTATATGAACTGACTGCTTGTCATCTAATAAACACACATAAACATAGACAAAAATATTCATTCTATTTTCATTACTTTAGTTTATACTCCTCTCCCTCAGGAATTAAAATTTCCCTGTTATTCTAAATTCTTTTTCTTAAAAGCTTGCTTCAAGACCCACAAATTCCATAAAACTTTCTGGGACTATGCCAGAACAAAGAAAAATTTCCCCTTTTAGGTATCTAATGCATTTCCATTCACTTTATGTAACCTAGTATTATTTATTATTCTTTAATAATGTCAAGGAAATCAGTACAGCAATCCCAAACATCATGATACCTCTTCAAGAGCAGACACCTGTTTCCACTCCAAAAATCTGAGACCATTATACAGATAATAGTAATGTCTCTAATCCTACTTTTTGCTTAAAATGCGGGGGCAGTGTCCATCTTTTTTTTTGCCCTTGCTAGCAACAGGAAGACATGTAATAAATAGCATTTTCTTATTGATTTTGTTCCTAACTGCTCAGAATAAGCAAGCTATTTTCCCCTACAGAACATTTAATCTATAGATACAATTATCAGTTTCAAAATAAGATAGATGCTGTGGGACACACCTTCTTGGCATTCCAAAATTGAAAATTTAAATAAGGCATGCCAGGCGTGGTGGCGCACACCTGTAATCCCAGCACTCGGGAGCTGAGGCAGGATTGCTGTGAGTTCCAGACCAGCCTGGGCTACATACTGAGTTCCAGGTCAGTCTCAACTACATAGTGAGACCATGTCTCAAAAAAAAAAAAAAA